CGAAATGAACTTTCCACCAACGTTCAGCAACGCAACGACCCTGGTAATGTATCAGTAAATCGAGTTGCAGTAAAGCTTCCACCATTCTGGGCCGATCGACCTAGTCTATGGTTTGCTCAGGTAGATTCCCAGTTCACCATCTCAGGCATCACAAGCGATGACACTCGGTTCCACTACGTCGTTTCTCAGCTTGAAACACGTTACGCAGTGGAAGTAGAGGACATAATCACAAATTCGCCTGCAACAAATCGTTACGCGGTACTTCGTTCGAAGCTAATTGAAAGGCTCTCTAATAGTGAAGAAGAATGTGTTCGCCAGTTGATAAGCGACGAAGATATCGGAGATCGCAAGCCATCGCAGTTCTTACGCCACCTACGTTCTCTGCTCGGTCCAGCCCAACTACAGGACAGCATCCTTCGAGCACTCTGGCTACGCCGTCTCCCTGTTAACATTCAAGCGATTCTCACTGCTCAAAATGAACTTCCACTCGATAAACTTGCAGATATAGCCGATAAAATCATTGAAGTTTCTACAAGAACACCATAAGTATCGGTAAATGCTACTACATCTCGTGAACACACACAGTCTTTTTTTTTATGGGGAGGAGGTAAAAATGCATTTACGCACACTGAGGTGCTCAATGGCCACTCAGTAGTGCCGGACTCCCGCGGGCTCATTGTCCCCGGACTACCGGCTAAAAAACCCCCTCGTCTCCTAGGACACTAGCCTGGAACTGTTTCGCACATTACTTCAGGCTAGGCCTTTTTTACTACGCCCCTAGGGCTTTCCTTCTGGTTTCCTCAGAAAACTAAGGCCGATCGAGGTCGACCTTCTTATCCCGAAGTATGGCTTCGACGAACTGCTTTACACAGTTCCAGTTTCCTTCCCCCTGTATCATAGCTCCAACGATGTTGTCGGGAGTAATGTCGACGCCGATCTCGGAGATCAAGGAGGCTCGGCGGACATGCCACCTGTCGCAGAAGAAGAACACACACAGTCTAATGACGATCTCACTGCTGTTGTTGCGAGACTGACAGAAAGGATTGATGCACTCGAAGTATCCCTCCGGCACGATCGTTCGACCAATCATGTCAAGAAAACATCAAAGAACCCGAATCAAGATCAGAACAAATCTACAAGCCAAATTTGCTGGTATCATGCCAAATTTGGTGAACAAGCTTCAAAATGTACTTCTCCTTGCTCTTACGCGGGAAACTCCAAAGACGGCCAGTAACAGCGGCGGCTGACTGTCAAGCACCCAGCCGCAGAATTTTTGTTTCGGATCAAAAGTCAGGACTCTGGTTCTTGATCGACATCGGCTCTGACGTATCATGTTATCCAAAACGTCTTCTACGAGACCGTCGCACATCTACAGACTTTGAAATTAGTGCCGCCAACGGTAGTACAATCAAGACTTACGGAACCTGTTCTATGACATTGGACCTTGGCCTTCGCCGTAGTTTTGCATGGCGGTTCGCAGTTGCAAATGTCAGTGTTCCAATCATTGGCTCGGACTTCCTCAGTTACTACCATTTGCTTCCTGACTGTCGTTTGTTGCGACTTCACGATGCCAAAACTGGACTTATTACAGGAGGACAACTTTCCGTTACGACTCAAAGTAGCGTAAAACCCGTAGTCACTACTTCTCCCCTCTCTAAAATCTTACATGAATTTCCTGAAATTACTCGCCCTCCAGGATTGCCTCGAGAAGTAAAGCACCAGACAGTACATCACATACACACGACTCCAGGACCCCCTGTATTCTGCCGACCACGGCGACTGGCCCCTGAAAAGCTCAGCATTGCAAAGAGTGAATTTGCCGAGATGGTAAAATGTTGTACAGCACCACGTCCATCAGACAGTCTGTGGGCTTCACCCCTGCATCTGGCGCCGAAAGGAGAAAATGGATGGAGACCGTGTGGAGACTACCGTGCATTGAATGCATGCACCACTCCTGACAGGTATCCTGTTCGACACATTCATGATTTTTCAAATAATCTTTCAGGCTGTAACGTATTTTCTGTCATAGATCTAGTAAAAGCATACCAACAAATCCCTGTACACCCAGATGACATATGCAAAACCGCTATCACAACTCCATTCGGCCTTTTCGAGTTTCCATTCATGACTTTTGGGTTACGTAATGCTGGCCAAACATGCCAGCGTTTCATAGATGAAGTAACACAAAACCTATATTTTACGTTCAGCTACATTGATGATATTTTAGTGTTTTCCCGATCAATTGAAGAACATGAGCAACATCTTAGGACTTTTTCAAAAGACTCCATTCCTATGGCGTTATTGTAAACTCGGCCAAGTGTGTTTTTGCAATGCCTGAAGTGACGTTTTTAGGGTACAAAGTTTCAGCATCAGGTGTCTACCCTCCACAAGACCAATATCTGCTCTTCAGGAGTACCAACTACCTGAAATGCGTGGAATACGTGAAATGTCCTGAAATGTAATGCGTGGTCTTCGACGGTTCCTAGGTATGTTCAATTTCTATCGTAGATTCTTACCTAAAGCCGCAGAACTCCAAGCACCTTTACACTCTCTGCTTGGTGGTGCAAATAGCAAGGGATCACTTCCTGTGCCTTGGACCCCGGAAACTGAGGAAGCGTTTCAAGCTTGCAAGTCTGGTTTGTCGTCGGTGACACTCCTATTTCATCCGAAACACGACGCCCCTCTTGGACTGTTTACAGACGCCTCTGACGTTAGCGTAGGAGCTTGCCTTCAACAATTTGTTGAAAATTCCTGGCAGCCACTTGGATTCTTCTCTAAGAAACTTTCACCAAAGCAAAGCTCTTGGCCGGCGTACTACCGTGATCTTCTTGCTGTGTATGAAGCAGTACAGCATTTTCGTCATTTTTTGGAAACCACGGCATTTACCATTTTTACGGATCATAAGCCACTCATCTCTGCTTTTCATCAACGTCGTGAGAAACTTCCACCTGATCAACTACGCCAGCTTTCATTCATATCCGAGTTTTCTACTGACATAAAACACATCGGAGGTTCAGAAAACATTGTTGCCGATGCGTTATCACGTGTAGAGGCTATTTCATGTTCATTGGATCCTGAGTCAATTGAAAAAGCACAAAGCTCAGATGACGAACTCATCAACCTCATAAACAACAACAATTCGTCTCTCAAAATACAGAAGATCCAAATCCCTGGAACAAACTCATTCATCTTTTGTGACACTTCCACAGGGACCCAAAGACCTTATATTCCAGTTGAACTACGGAAGAGGGTATTTCATTCGCTACATGACCTCAGCCACCCAGGCATTAAAGCTACTGCAAAACTTGTAGCAGATCGATTTTTCTGGCCAAGTATTCAAAAAGATTGTCGTAACTGGGCTCGTACTTGTGAGCGATGCCAACGTTGCAAGGTAACACGACACGTTCATACTCCTCTAGGAACATTTTCTTTGCCATCATCACGTTTTGAGCACATCCATGCTGACATAATTGGACCTTTACCACCAGCAGGACCATACAAATACTGTCTTACAGTCATAGACCGTTACACTAGGTGGCCTGAGGTTCATCCTTTAAAGGGGATTACTGCAGAAGAAGTCGCTGAAGGTCTAGTCTCGTGCTGGTTTTCTCGTTATGGTGCTCCTTCAAGAATAACTACTGATCAAGGCCGCCAATTCGAATCATCCCTCTTCAAGTCCCTTGGAAGAACTTTCGGCTCTGAAAGAATCAGGACTTGCAGTTACCATCCCTGTGCAAATGGATTGGTGGAGAGATTCCATCGTCATCTCAAAGCTTCACTGATGTGTCATCACGATTCATCCTGGCTGGAAGCTCTTCCGATTGTCCTCCTAGGTATAAGAAGTGCGTACCGCGAGGATATTCAAGCATCAACGGCAGAAATTGTTTTCGGACAACAGTTGAGACTTCCAGGAGAATTGTTTGATCTCCCTGTTGACGGATCCAGGCATGAAGATCCTTCTGATTATGTTGTACGACTCCGTCAACACATGTCTTCGATCAAACCTGTCGAAGCTTCACGCCATGTCAAACCCAAAACTTTTATATTTCAGGATCTTAGAAAGTGCACCGATATTTTCCTAAGAGATGACTGTGAAACGTGCTCTACAGCCTCGCTACAACGGACCATATCCTGTAATTTCTCGTGATGAAAAATCCGTAGTAATATCACAGAATGGCAAACAAGTGCGAGTGAGCATAGACAGGGTGAAGCCTGCATATATGTTACCCGAAAAGTGTAATCACCCAACAATCAAAGAGCCTCAAAATATACAACCTCCAAACACATCCCTCAACCCTCCAAACCCAGCATCATTCAGAAGCTATACAACTCGGTATGGACGAAATGTTAAGCTCAAGCTTCCTGGACTTCCAGTCTCTGTGGGGGGCTGATGTTGCGTCAACTTAGCCACAGCTGTGTTGCCTTTGGTCTATGCTTTGTTTTCATATTTGTTGTGTAACAGCTGTTGCTTGTGTTTTGATTATGTTATGATTCAACACACAACTTAATTCATTTGTAAATAAATCATTATTAAATACTCGTTCATATAGTGGTGAATTTAATTCATACAGATTATCCACACTATAAATACATGATCCTGACTGATGAAACAGCTTATCTTAGTCAATAACAAAGCTACACAGATTATCTCACACTATTCTACACTCATCCTTCACTCATATTTCGGTCAAAAATGCACCTAGGTTGCGTATGAATTTAACCATCGCAGTGAATTGTTAATTGAACTAATGTTATTTTATTAGAGGATAAATATTACATTTTAAAATAGATATTTTAGTGAAAATCCAATCAGGCATATAGAAATTCCCTTAGCTGCTGGAGGTTTGCAGCAAGGGGGGTATTTTGTTCTAGCTATTGAACTTTTTTAGTTTTGACCTGTAATTTCTTTTGATTTACTTAAATCCTCATTCATAAATAAAGACTGAAGGTTCCAACAAATGCTTTATGTACTTATTAATGTGGATTTGTTTTATTTTCAGTTCAATCACAAGACAGTGGCCCAAGTTGCATCAGACGTTCTACTGCTGCTCACTGACCATTCTCAAGTGCTACTCAAATACTACCCAGAAATACCACCTCGGATTGTTGAGGTACTAATAGCTATACACTTTTAAAACAAGGTGCTTAACCTATTTATTACTCTGACGCTTGCAGATATTTTTCTTGCTGTTTTACTTCAATATGTCCCCAAGATTTTGGAGCAAACAGATCAATTTATATTGGTGTTAAATAGCAGTGGAAGTTTAATTTTATTCTGTTGTGAATTTGATTCTATTGTGATTCTGACAGTGTTTTAAAGAATCTTTTGACATACCACAATGTAAAAACCCTTTCCACTCAAATTAACGGGAGGCCCATTTACTCACCAGCTCCATTTAATTTTAGCCAAATTTGCACACTTCATTTATTTGCCAAAAAAACAAATACTGTCTTTATTTGTAGAATGCTGGTAATTTTTTTCCTAATTCTGTATGAACCAAAGATCATATTTAGGATATAGAAACCAGTATATATATTTAAAAAAATTATTATACATTACTCATAAAAAAAAAAAAAAAAATTTTTTGAGAAAATAAAAAAATTGGAATAACAAGATTTTTTACAATTTTTTTTATAGAAATAAGAGTATAAAAGTGTTTTATTTACATTGTGTATGTCCTTATATATATATATATTGAAGTGATTTCATAGCTAAAAGACACAATTTTATGCGAAAAAAAAAAATATATTGAAAAATATGAAATTTTGCAAAAAAAAGTTTTTCTGAAAATATCAGTTTTTGTAGCGACTAATATCTTTTTAGGCAATATTAATTTTGCTGTTGCTTAGAAACCAAATATTTATGATGTAAAGAGAAAAAGTATTTTTTCTTCAAAACTGTATTAGCTGAAAAACATAAATAAAACAAGAACTAGGCCTAAATATTTTATCTCGCTTGTACGCTACTCCGCTTCAATCACAAGCAAGAATAGGCCTAAAATAATAATAACATAAAATAAACACAAGTTATATAAGAATTTAAACAGTGTTTTTGTCAAAGAACTAGACATACCTCATTACATCTTATAGTTTTTCAGGGTATGGTAGCGTTCAAAGCACTGCCCTGGGTGAAGGCCTGGTTTTCTTGCACATGTAGCACAGAAATACACTGTTTCTCTTCTCTGTCCAGCTTTCCTGTTGCTGCAAACAGCACAGTCCTTGCTGTTGCTTTTTTCATTGGCATAAATAAAATGAGGTTTTTTATCTAGCCTATCTTCTTGGTCAGCTGAAGAAGGACGACCTCGCTGTGAATAAGATTTGTTACGTACACCAGAAACAAGTTCAGTGATCAGCATTTCCCAAAATCTCTTCGAATCAATGGGAGTTTTCCCCTTATTCTGTAAGTCCATGTTGTATAGAAGGAGACTGTTGACAACACATACTTCCATAAGCCAGAACCACAGTTTTCTCCACCACACTTTAGATTTCCGAACAAACATGTAGGACGAAATGTAATGGTCGGCAGTGTCGACTCCTCCCATTCTCTCGTTGTAATCACATACAACAACTGGTTTGGAGACAATTTCATCTTCTTTTCTTCCTTTTTCTCTTCTTTTTACTAATTGCATATCCGAGTTATGATACGAACTCATCATGATTACATGTCTCTGGTCCCGCCACACTAACACCAAGACATTGTCTTTGTGACGGTAGGCTGCTGTCTCATGTTTCTTCAAAAGACCCTTTAGCCTTTTCTTATTTACATTACTGGGATTACCTTGTCGATTTGAATTAACTGTACCAGTGAGATGCATTTTCATCTTTAGCAACTCTTGAGCTAATGACAAACTTGTATACAATCGGTCAGTATATATGTGGAAACCGCAATCTGGCCCACATACTTGCTTCACTCTTAGTGCCAACAGCAAAACAATTCTGGTAGTGAATTGCAAGTCAGGATAAGGTAATATCTGAGATGTAGCTGAGCCATAGTATGGCTCAAACGTGAAAATGTATCCTGACGTGGCATCAGATACAACAAAAACCTTTAGACCCCATTTAATCGGTTTTTTGGGGTTGTACTGCTTGAAGTACACTTTTCCTTTGAACGAAATTGTACTTTCATCCATAGAAATCTCATATGGAGGGACAAAGTACTCTGTAAACTTAGTCTGAAGGTAAGCAATTATATTTTTTAGCTTGTCCCCTCGTGATCGGGCTGGTTGGGTACCACCAGTACTCGAACAGTGTAAAGTTCAAAATATTTGAAAAAATATTGTTCTAGAAAATACACGGCTAAAGAATGGCTGATTATAAAGCCAATCTTGAGCAAAGTAGTCTTGCAGCGAGGGTTTAGTATTGAGTCCCATGTTTAGAACCACTCCGATGAATGCTCTTATCTCCTCTAACGTTACATCCGTCCACGAGTGCCAGATTGAATTTTTTTGCAACGGCCTCTTATTAGAAATGACAACCTTAGCATGTTTATTTGTCTCAGTAACAATAGTTTCTAAAAGTTCATCTGTCATAAACAATTGAAAAAACTGTAATGGGCTATTAGGTTTGTAGCCTATTGGGGGTTTGTAGCCAGATTCCAAAGTGTAAGGGAAGTGGGGGAAATCTTGGTCAGTATTTGTGTAAGTCCTATAGTTATGATCTTCATTAGGCTTGTTCTTGGTTTGGATAGGCCTAGGCCGAGCCTTTTTACCCTGTGTGCTAAGACTAGACTTCTTTTTGGTTTTTGAGACTTTAGTTTTTCTCGATCCGCGCAAATGTCTACCTGTTGTAAGTTTGGTTGATTGTGAAGAAGGTCCTGATTCAGTACAAACTGGGATAGAGCTAGGTCTCGGTCTGTCAAGTTTTAGTCTTTTTGATTGACTCAAAATATTGGAACAGCTTGGTTCAGTAATTACAGGTAATTCGGTATGCCCACCGATACTTACATTATGTATTCCCAGTATTTCATCTAATGTCCCAAAGTTTACATCATCTTGTTGAAAAAAATGATCATCAATAGGCCTATGTTCAACAGGCAAATCGGTACTTACATTATGTATTCCAGGTATATCATCTAATGTCCCAAAGTTAACATCATCTTGAAGATAAAATGGATCAATATGTTCAATCGGCAAATCGGGATCACTATTATTATCACCATCTTCATCACTATTTTCGTCGTCGTCTAATTCTGGATCGGTTGGATCTGAACTGCTATTTGATAATAAATCGTCTTCAAATAACAAACCAGCTATATCAGAATCACTTATATTACTTGTTCCATCAGCAATTTTGCGATTTAGCAACGAATCATCGCCGTCTTCATCCATTTTATGGGCTTACGTAACAAGAACTAACTAACTAACTAACTCAAATCATAACAGTTCAGTCAAACACGAAAATAAACAACTAACTGAAAATATCTGATTGTATGTAAACAATAATAAAAAGTAAAAGTAAAGCACGCAATTCGATAATAACAACCCAACTACATGCGGCAGTAAACAAACTAAGCAACATTTAGTAAACAGCTGCCGTGCAGTCAGTCAGCTGCCGCTACAGACAGCAGTTCAGTTAACGAGTGAAGACGACTAACATAAGCTCTAAGATTTAATATTGAGCATTGAATATTTGTTCAAACGGTTCTGAAAAAATTCCCCAGATGGCAGCAGATGTCAAACATCAACCCTAGTGGCGAAATAAATAACTATGTATGTCCAAATAAAAGTACAGTACGTTGTCATAGCGACGGCGGGCCTGGCCCAACATTAGAGTTCGTGCGGCCATGACGCACGGCGGGGCTCCCCCGCCGCTTGAGCGGAAAGGGTTAATACATTGATGATGTGGTTGCATACAATGACCTGACAATGTTCTAAGGAACGAAACTAGTTGTCATACCAGCAACTGTGGTTGGATAAGGTAATTCTTATATTTTATCAATTATATATTTCAACCAAGGGTCACAATGAATAACATTTAATTTGATATCTTTAGAAGGTAGAATAGCATTTTGTTTCCAAAAAATAAAGAAAACCTTCTGACTTTGACTATAAGACCTCCCGATATGATGTTCTAAATGTTGTATTGCGGTTTGAAGGTGTTGGCCAGCACACTGTCACACCTGATGCCTGTGGGAGACTCAGATATGCTGACATCACTGGTATTTTGTTTGGGAGAGTGGACCATTAGGCGTCTCAAAATGATGTTCCAAATGTTGTATTGTTGTATTGCTGCACTGGTGTTTTGTGTGTTGTTATTCATATGTGTTTGAGAACATATGGTATTAGAATATTATTTGTTTATTTTTTGTTGGTAAACATTCTGAATCTTGGTTTATTGTAAAAGCTACCTAATAAAGTATTTGTCTTATTAAAACTATATTTTAATTTAACTTACGGTAACACTACATGGTGGCAGCGGGTTTTTTATTGTTTTAGCAATACAGTACATAAAGATGAAAGGTTTTAGTGTTCCTTCCCAGAACATTTTGATTTTAAAGGAGAAAACTGGTCTAAATGGAAAACCCGTTTCTTGCGCTTTCATGCGGTATCTGGGCTCACAAATGAAGACGAACCATATCAGGTAAACACCTTACTATATATGATGGGCGAAAAGGCCGACAGCATATTTGAATCATTTAATTTGACATCTGAGGAAAGTAAAAGTTTCAAAACTGTTTAAAAAAAAATTTGATACATATTTCGCTCCTTCTAAAAATGTAATCTTTGAGAGGTACATGTTTCATACTAGGATTCAACATGAGGAAGAGCGTGTTGAGAGTTTGATTCATGATCTGCATGATATGGCTTCTAGATGCGATTTTCCTGCTTCTTATAAAGATGAGGCTATACGAGATCAACTTGTTGTAGCGATTAGAGACAAAAGTTTATCTGAAAAACTACAAATGAATGCAGATCTAACACTTGATTCTACTGTCTCAAATGTTAAGCAAGCCGAATCGGTTAAAATGCAACAATCATTGATGAGGTCCAGGTCTTCTGAACATGCACTAACTGCAGATAAAGGCACTTCAAGGACTTGGGGCACTAAATTTTCTCAGAAACCTCCAGTTGATTCCAATGCGTCCAGTACCAATTACTACAATCAATGCCAG